TTTTGGGTGTGCTCCCAACGCCTATGTGGTAAATAAACTTATTTATATGCAACCACCTGTTTTCTTTCTCTTCTCTCCGTGTTGTATTCTCTTGTTGTACCTTTAAATTAGATAATAAGGAATCTATTCAATTAAATACTATGATTACATAGTTGCAGTTATGGCATATATTATTAGATATTATGTGTAATGTTACATATTATACATATTATAGGTTAGGCATCAAGGAATGAAAAATAATATTTCTTTCATCAGTCAATACCACTGGAAAAAATGGCAACAAAACGATTTTTGTTCAGTGGTATAGATAGAAAAATATTAATTTGCATAATCTTATACATGCAAGACGACAAGGGCCCAAGATACATGCATTTAATTCTGAATGTGCACAGAACATGCCAAGTCCACGTCTGATCAGAGATATACAAGCTACAAGATGTATTGAACCATTTTGTGCCCCAAAGATGGCTGGCATTCTCTGAGGACCCATCTAGTAAATATGGTCATGAGAGGTGGCTGTCGTAGGCAGCAACTTCTCTCCTCAGTGCCATCAATCAAGACCATACATGGGCAGCCTTTATTTTGACAGGATTTTATTTGTTGTTTTCTTTATTTTTGTAGGAAATTAATGAAGTGGGCTGGTGAAAAAACATGCCTAGGCACTGTGCTGCTATTTGCTAGTACAATGTATAGATTCTGCAATGTACTTACATAAAGTAGTCTTCAATGTTAAACACATACTGTGTTGTTTGAGTAAAATATGAACGCATGTGAAAGAAGGAATAGGCACAAAGAAGAACAATTAAATGCTCAACAACGTTATATCTAAGAAATGGCAGATATCCTCTTGCATCTAAAAACCAGACAGAAACGCATATAAAAAATAAAACTAGACAGGTGGCTCTGACAGAGCGATTCTGAAGGATTCCTCCAGAGGAAGGTAATGATTTTATGACAGCTTTTGAAGGTGGCTACAACTAGCCTCTGGAAAAATAGTAGAAATTGGCCGAAATAAAGGGATAGCATACCAGAGAAGATCCCGGGCCATAGAAGATTCAAAGTCGCGAATTGGATCTTCTATGGCCCGGGATCTCTCTCGGAATACTATCCCTTTATTTCCGCCAATTTCTACTATTTTTCCAGCGATCTGCGGTGCGTGGTATAGGCTAGGCTATGACAGCTAGTAGGCACCTCCCTGCATACATGTATGTAAATCCACACACGACACATCTTCCACAACAACAGCAATGTTCTCACCACATGCTGTAAGCTCGGCAGGGGATCAGAAAGCTGCTTTCGGCGGGATGAAGAGACTCACGACTATCCGCTAATGCGTACCCAGAGGGGAGCTTGCGCCGCGGAGGCTGCGGAGAGAGGGGAGAGAAACAGCGGGAAAATAAGTGGTGCTGTCAGACAGTTTGCCGCCCTTTCAGATCTGTACGCTGTAGATTGCTCAGAGTGAGGAGAGGGAGAGAGAGCGCTGTCAGATGTTGTCAAATATCCCGTTGGAGATTGTTATCCATCTTCTCCGTGGCATCCTCCAGGCACAGGGCAGGGCTACCGGCACATCCATCTAGGTCGACTTAAAGTGTCGGAAGGACTTCAGAGGTGCGGCGGGGAGGGTATCAGCCCCAGCATCGCACTAACTTTGTCGCGACTAACGGCTTTTCTTCCGGGATCAGTCTACACCATCTTTAAGATCACAGGAAGTAAGATGCTTCCTTGCCCTCAGGATTGCCAACAGAAGTTGTTTCTTTCTTTAAAAGCTGAGATATGCAACCAAGATGATGATTCAAGTATAAAAATTACGGTTAGAATTTAAATATATATAAGTCATGTCATCAAAGTTATCAACCAAAGATTGAAGTGTTAAAACTTGCATAGCAAAGAACTTGCAGTCACCAAGTAAACAAAGAATAGATATTGACCGTTTATCAGTTAACACATCATATCAATAGCATATAGCAGTCAGAAGCTCTGAGGAAGGTGTCTGATAGACACCAAAACGTAAGCAAGGCACATGTAAGAGACAATGTTGTGTATGTTGTGTTGTGTAAAAGAAAACCCCTATATCCTATACATAATTCCGCTTGAATCTCAACAATTTACACAGGATCCCAAACAGGCCTACTGAGTGATTCTTGGATCCAAAATCATGATTCTCCCCAACAACTGACCCTTGCAACACCATAGAAATCCCACAGGCATTATATTAGTTATTCATGTGTATACAGTATACACATAAATTATATAATACTAAAACATACATCATATGTGAATATGCGTAATTTGATACAAACACATACATCATATGTGCATATAAAGTATCTAGCTAAAGCCCTTTAATTTATGGGAGTAAAATTTGAGGTCAACCATGTTACAGATAAATACTGATGAATACAAACAGGGCTATACATGTCATTTTGGCAAATTTCAGGGAATATCAAATAGGAAGGGAGCAAAGACGATTTTATGTTGAATCACACATAGCCTATTTACCTTCTCTTTGTACAATATATTTGTGCAACAAGACATGAATATTGCCTTAAGTTCTCTGGGGGCACAAGGAGACATTCGGAATTCAGCAGTATATTAGAATCCAAGCCTTGAAGGAAACCATTAAGACACTAAAGGCTGCTTAAATCACCCGGAGGCTGCTATGCCCTGCCAGTTTCTTCCTCTGATAAAATATTGACCTATTTCATTATTCCCAAATGTAGGGCGCATCAGCTTATTTAGCTGTGCATAATTACATGATACAAGCTTGGGCGTTCACTGCACAATTACCTGCGGCCGGCCTTCTTTCTCATTATTGGGGAAACGTGATTCATTCGGCTACTTGACGTAACACACCGAATTGACGGGGGCCAGGAGGCAACTCAATATGGCTGTCTACATCGCACAGCACATTAGTTCTGTGGAAATTTCCGATCGGCGGTGCGTGTGCCCGGCTCCGAGCGAACGCCTTCCCCCGAAGTGTCGCCCGGATTGACTTGCGAGCGAGATGTCCTCACTCCGATCCGCGGCTAATCCCGAGAAAACGACCGGGGTCGGGAGCAGCGAACAGATTAAATCTACTCCAACTTCTCTCATTTGTTGTGTAGATTGCTGATGTTTCGGCTGGCAGGGCGCCAGGGGAAGCTGGGGTAGTAATCATGGGAAATAGCCGGCTGTGGAGGCCTCCTCGCTTTGATGGGTGTGGCCTCCTGGTAAATGAGGTGTTCAAGCACATTGATTTCCCCATAAGTCACCATTTTTTTGGCAGGAGTTCAATCTTGTATGAACCTGCAGTGGGGGAATGCAGAATACCTGCTGTGACCTCTGCACATATTCAGGTGGTGCCCCTCATGTACATGTAATGTGCCGCACACACTCATCTCTTCACATATAAAACTAGCAGGTATCTCCTCTGGATGGAGTAAAGCCCGTGATTTCAACAGCTTGACTCATCCATGCATACATTTAGCTGCCGGGAATCAGCGACTATTTTTAGACATCCGTCAATAATGATAATATCGCAGGAAACGATTGGAGGGATGGAAAACGATATGCAGATACACCATGTGACATTCCTATGTCATAGCAACTACTCAACTGCTTCTTCAATATGCTTACAGTAAATGATTTCAGAAAACATACAGTTTTTGGCAGAGGTTTCCTTCTAGGCTTGCAATTTTGCATCTTTCACCTTTTTCCAGGATCCAGCTAAAATATCTAGAGACCTGAGCATTAGCTGCCTAGTTAAGAAAAAAAGAAAAGGAAATCTTGACCAAAAGGCTATCCCATTCTAGCTTCAATTCACTCCTCTAATCCCATCTAAGAAGACTGCGACTTTAACAAGTTGGATTTGCCAGAATTGAGACAACAGTAGTAGGGATCCTTGCGGACAACCTCCCAACCACAGTTGACCTTGCTCACGGCTAACTCCCAACCATGATCTGCAGAGGGTCGGGAGGCCATGGCCTCATGGTCAGATTACAATTTAGGTAGAACAAAAAGTGTAGACATTGTACATGTACTTCCATTGTACCACATTCCTAACTTGGGTCTAGACTTACCCAGTGCATGCACACATGTGCGCACCTTACATGGTGTTTGTCTGTCAATCTGACTAGGACCACTTTTGTCAACCATCTGTATGCACACACACACATACATACACACAGAGAGAGACAAAAATACATATTGACATTACATGCAAGACTTAATTACCAAAAGAGAAAGGTAGGGGTCAGAAAATAGTTCATGTATCAAAGTATGATGGAAAAAAGCAAGGAATACATGTATATTTATTCAAAGGATTCGATTAAATTATAATGTACATCGTGTACACCAAGACATTACTTTCTACTGAAAAAAAAGGATATTGTGTGAAAATACCTTGAGCATGTTAGAAATCAATGACAGATACAGAAAACATTTCATGGAGATCACATGTTCTTAAATTACCATTTCAGGACACGTTCAGTACAGCACACGATGTTCTCTCACCAAAACCAAAACTGTTCCATAGATCACACAAGGCTCCGTCTGTCGCAGTGGACCAAATCTTGGCTGTAAGTCAACACATTACCTACCGACTAATCCAAGCCATGCTTCAAACATGGCAGGGCATGCTAAACAAGTGTGGAAAGGGTGCCACATGTTTGACCTGATGTGAAGCAGCTTTCTGAAATGACTTTCAAACTAGAGACGACTAAATCTGCAGTAGCAAAGAAAGCCCCTCCGCATCCACTTCGGTTCCCTAACTGTACAACTTGATGCAAGGGTCTTGTATGTGGTGTTACATGTATATGAGAAATGAGAGATGCTGTTGTACATTGAAAGGTTTGCCTAACTATCAAAGGAGGAGCTGTGACAGTCTTGCCTAACTCTTTTCTTATATATGCTATGCCAGAGAATTAAATGTACTTCTAGAGGGAGATAGGGCAATTTAAATGCAGTTCAGGGTAAGAGGGGTACTTTCTACAGAGAAAAAAATGATCATGTGTAGCAAGACCTACTTGTTGGTATACATTTATTGCACAAATTTCTGTCCTGTTGGTGTACAATGTACATTTATAGCACAACAGTTTTAATGTATATACTGCAACATCAGTACATTGTGGTGACATGTAGATCTCAACAGGCTGTCAACAGGCCCTGACTGAGCCCCATGTGAACAAGGTAAAACCATGAAAACCTTGTTCATCCTTCTCATATGTTTTCTTTTAATTACGGTACTCCTTAACAGTGGAAGATGATGACTGTTAAACTGGTGTCCTCATTCACGGGGTGTGTGGCCTCATGTGGCTTCCAAAACTTCAGCCACAGTCATCCACCCTTCACGCACTGGTGGTCCATTGTCAGAACATTTTCTTATACGTGTACGTCATTCATATTTACTGACAACCACAGTGATGACGTATTAGTCACAACAAATGTTCCTGCATTAATGTGTTACTGTCCTTCATTAGCATAGTGTTACATGGTGAGAAGTATCTGTTATCATTTACATCTTTCGAAGAACACTGAGACGAACGAACACACATCCCCTGGAAAATATCTCACAGGGGTATTTCAATTATAATCATGAGGAAATACTGATAAAACACAACGTGAACAAACAGGAGTAAAGGTTAACTAGAGTCCACCTGGCAGTTGAAGTATTTAGCCAAGACAGAAGCCTCCTCTGCCATTTCTTCTTCACTTCTCCATCTTTCATCTGAATCAGTCATTTGCTTGTCATGTTTGTCCAACTGGAAAATAAAATAGAGGTTTTCTTCTATAAGTTACTATAACTACATCTACATGTACATCTACATCATTTTACATCTACATCATTACTGGGTAAGCCTTCTACAATACAGTATACCGCCCAGGTGCACGGCTAGTGCGGCTGGTGTGAAAAAAAAAAGTGTCTGACAACAAAACAAACATTTGATGGATGCAATGGTGAGTGGCCACTAGTATAGCCCAACTACATTCTTGTACCTCATCATTTGCAGACAATAAAAAACTTTCATCAAGCTGCAAAAAATGATACTCTAATAAATGATCACTCTTACCGCATGATACACATCATCGTTTTGTGGGAAGTCACCAACTCTCCTGGGAAGTATGTGTACATGGACATGCTGCAAGGATGAAACATCACATCAGTACGTCATTACAAGTTACTGTACAACACTGCCACCTTGCACACTGTCTTTGCACAGGTCAGAGATGCCACCTACCAATCCACTGTAGTATTGCAGCTGTATGTACTGCTCACATATGACCTGATGGTAAAGGATGAACTTTCATGTATCGGATTGGGCTCAGCCACCGTAGTGGCCTGGCACTCTCACTACATCTTTCATGCACACATATGACCATTTTCCAACAAATGAATGTTTGGCTTAGAGGGAGGGAGGGACATATTTTATTTCAACATTTTTACTGGCTTGTAGTAAAAAGTGCAGTTAGAAACATTGTTAACGAGAAATTGGTAGAAACTAGAATACATTCACCTTTACGGTTTGCCCTGCCTCAGGTCCATCCTGAAAAAAAAAGCAATGTAGGAATTTGTAAATTGCCTCGTGCAATGTAAATTAGCTTAAAACAGGACATAGAACTTACATACTGTATCATCTTACTTTTATGGGGATATCATTCAGTCAGGTTTTGTTATTCTGATATCGAACATTACAGGTCATGTGATTATACTGTCATGAAAGCTCATCTGTGTTGGTAGTTAAAACTTTTGATCCAACAAGAAGAGCTTCTGACCAGTCACTCTGGTCTTCCTCAGTAGATTGACCCAGTGAGACTTGTCACGTGGCCTCTTTGAAGTGTGACGTCAACACTGGGTCAAAGGTATCTGGTAGATGATGTTGGCCCCCGTTGCAGTTGAGTGAAGAGTGATGGGCCCTGATAACGAGCCTCACTGGGTCAGTCTACTGAGGAAGACAAGCTCTAGGTGAGAGAACTTCTTTATGTTGGATCAAAAGTTTAATTAATTAACTTTAAAAGTTAATTAATTAACTAATTTATTAATTTTAATTAACTCTAAACAAGTCGTGTGATTGTATCAATTGACTAGGTCCCCACCTGTATGGCAATGGTGAGTGAGGAGCTCTGAAAGTGTTTTTCCACCACCCCTGAGATGGTCTGTGTGGCCTGGAAAAGATCAGCCACCTCCTCTGAGGACAGCTCTCCAAACCTCTCCACCACTCTCAGTGGGGACACCAGGACATCTGGGAGGGAACTGCAGCTAAGGATAATGCATGATACATGTATTTTCATCACCAAATGGGTCCTGTGGGGTTGTGTCGTGTAATCGGTAGCGTGTTTGGCTCGGTACCAAGAGGTCCCGGGTTCGAATCCTTCCCATGTCACCGATCTTGTGCCCTTGAGAAAGGCACATAACACGACTTTTCTCACTTCACTCAGGTGGGAAAAGACAGCTTGGATAAGACGTTAAATGGTGGTCCCGTGCTTGGGGAGAGCCTAGAGCGTAATCTATTATAATTCTACGTAGAATGTAGACGGGCCGCACAAGTTGAGAGCATAACTGGTGCATTTTGCATAGAGTGTAGCCTGGATGCCAGACCCAAAGCACACTGGACACAAAATATCTCAGGCTCACTGAGATATTTGTGTCCAGTGTGCTATGGGTCTGGAACCCAGGCTACATAGAGTGTAATTCGCCGTTTTAATTCTACGTAATGAGTTGTGCATGTACTAGCTGCCGTTTACCGAATTTATCGTAAAATGTAATGGGGAGGCTTCCTGAATTCAACGTAATATGTAGCCAGCAGAGCTCTCAAAATTTGGCGTAGAGCATAATAAATTTGTCAGGACAGTCCCCATGCACAGGGCCTCATACAGGGAGAGGCAGAGACATAAACGTATTAAACCCCTGTCAGACATGAAAAATACAACATGTATAACGGTTGTTGCTAAGCTTCAGCACCATAAATAGCCAACAAACATAACCTAGAACTGCTAAGGATACGACCTGGAACAACAGGCTTCCTGTTGACAAACCCAATACTGAGTCTGGACTTGAAGAAAACACACGACGCTTGGAGAACATGCTGTCCGAATTTAAATGATGGTCCTGCCATTTCCACAAGAGTTGAACCTGTGTAGAAAGAGAAGGTACATGTACACGTACATAAAATAATGTTCCAGCATCAAAATTATGGCTGTCCTACAGCTGACTTCTTCAAAATACTCTTTTTTTCAGTCTTAACCAGCTGCGACCAGAAAATTACAGGTTTGCGATAGCAAAACCTGTTCTATTTTACCTGGATTTTAAGGGCGCCGCCATTTTGTTTCCCGTCATGCAATGGGGCAGGTCAAAGTTGAGTGAGGTGCATTGTGGGACCTGTCACAGGCCTACAGTGTAAGGACGACACCTAGCGGTATGTTTGGAAAGAGCAGTAACTGAAAGCCTACCTGGTTGTGTGTTCATTTTGGCAGAAGTGTATAGAGGCGATGGCTTTGACGTAATAAAGGCGAGTCTGATTGTGTTTAGCACTTGACGTAATTTTCTTAGCATGACGGGAAGGAAACTTGGCGGACCTAATGCGGCGGAACTTTAAAGTTGTTTTTTTTTATGATGAGATGGTGAGGCTTTGGTATTACAAAAACAAAATGTAGTAGGGTGGTCTTGAGGATCTTGTCGAGGCCGAGCCTAGGGACGACAGATTGTCCTCAAGTACAGGGGTTAGTAGGTGGGATAAGTGGCATGAAGTTTTGGTATGAGTACACTTCCTGATTTCAAGTTCATTATGGAAATTGTAAGTTTTTTTTCAAGCTTACCAGTCCATTATACAGTGACTGTATAGGCGTTTGTAAACGTTTTTACGACCTGCCTTTCAGGCTGCTTGAACTTAACAATGCCGTCGCTTGCGACTCTCCATCTGTCTGAAATCCCCTGTCCTCCACCCAACCAAGGAACATAATTGAAGTATCTGATCAAAACGTTAATTATAGCTCACTTTCAACCTATCCTGATCTAATCTAATTGTCATATCCCATAGCTCTGGTCATATCCATTAAATGACACCTTTTCCTTCTGTGTGAGGACTTCTGTGTGGGGTGAACATTTTTCCACGACATACTATACACTTGTGGGATGACCCGAGGCTCGGTGTGTCAACTCAACGGAAGCTAGCCTTGCCTACAGGTCAGCCAACTGCGCGACCCGATCTCCTACCTCTAATTGCAGCCGTCAACTTCAATTGTAGGTTTTGCCCAGAGGGGCACGTCTGAGCTCTAGCTGTATAACCTCTACCAGACTCAGGAGACAGCTCAGGAAGGGGCCTGCAAGGGGGGTCCCGACAACGATCTATGCTGAATTCGGAAACTTCTCGATTTTTTAATACGCTTTACGATAAATTCCAAGTGGCTATAACGCATTACGTAGAGTTAAAACGGCGAATATGCTCTACAGAAAAGGGCTTGCGGGCCCCCCAGGAAAGAGTAGAAATTGACCAGATAAAAAGAAAACATGCCAGTGCAGGGGATCCGGAGTTGGTCCGC